TGACAGTCTACATTGTAAATAAAAGGTAAAATAAAAGGTATAGATATATAAAATTCATGCTTACGCTCTTTTTACAAAAAAGCTGTTATTCTCTAGTGGTGGCATGTAAGGTATGAATTTAAAATTGTTATCTTTTAAATACACTGACAGCGTTAATGTTTATATAAAACTTATGAATTATGTACATTAGGTAATGTTACTAATAACTTTATGAGTTATGTACTACATTAGGCAATGTTACTAATAACATTAAGTATTAATTAATTACGTATTTTTTTGTTTGTTTTTGTTTTGTTTTTAAATATTATGTTGTATGTATGAATACTTTCTCCGTTCAATTTTTTCACTATATCCTAAGTTAGCTATTTATTTATTTTCTTACAAATTAGACTGACAGTCTAATTCCATGTTCATACATGTCTGTATGAACATTCCATGTTCATACATGTTTACATGTCTGTGCTTATTACGTTTAATGCATGCTGAAATACTTTTAGAGATGATTTCATTTGCTGAAATATGTATCAGCGTGTTTAAAATAAAAATTCTTCACAAAATTTTAATTTTTTTTCAACTCATACAAATATATTACTACTTTTTCCCTTTCATAGCTATTTTCATGATTTATGATTACTACTGTTAACTTACTAAGATTAGAACCCAGGGAGAATAATTTTAATTAGAAATATACGTCTTTTTAAAAATGAAACAATCTTAACAAATCGCTAGTGCTTTACAGCAGCAAATTTACACTTAGCTGAAGTCTTTCCAAAATCTTGGAGTATAATAAAATTTATAAATATTCACTGGTGTAATTATAAAAAATTATTTGCATGATTTCCAGCTTGAATTCTACAGGTGTTTTAACTTAGAAGTTCTCGCTTTCTAGTTCAACGCAGTACTTGAGAACTCTAATATGCTTTCACGATACAATAAGGGTTTTTATGTCTTAGGAAAAAATTGTGTGTTAGATTGCTTAATTCTGCGCAAGCTTCTTTGCAAACGATGGCAACTTTTGCGACGATAATTTCAAATTCGTACAATTAAATTCATTGATATACATACAGACAATCAGAGCAATTACTTTCATTTTAAGATATAATAAATATGAAAAGAATATGAAGATGATATTTAATGCATGTTTATTTTAGAGATTTAACGAATTATTCCATTCTACCTAATTGAATATAAAGTCCTTTCCTACAGTTTATTATCAAGTTTCAGCGAAAACAAAAAGTATTTTTCACTTGAATTTAGGCTAAACTTTCCACAGTAAAGGAATTACAGAATTCCATAGTAAAGTAATTTTTCTGAAATCCGATTACTTACCTAACAACATACCAGTAGGCGTAATGAACCGTTGGTTTAAACGTAAAAAATAATCTCTGTAATTCTGACAGAATTTTTTAAAAAATTCGATGGCTATTAATGATAACCAGATAAAAAGATTAAAATTTGATAGCTCACTCTCCACACGGCGTTCAAGGCTGAACAGCTGCCTGGCAGATTTTTCTGGACGCTGTTTAATACATCACACAAATACAAATCAATTACTCTTAGAACTTTCTTCATGAAGACATTTCTCTGCTTAATCAGATAATTCTGGGATATTCGGCCTCATTTAATCAACTAACCAACTATCTATGGACGAGTCAATCTGCATTCAAGTTAGGTTAGATAAATTTGACCATATTCTGATAAATACCATTTATTCTGATAAATTTGACCATATTCTGATAAATACCATTTATTCTGATAAATTTGACCATATTTATGTCCACAACAGGATCGATGCCAGAGCTATTCCAAGTAATGCTGCACCGAGCGGGAAAATTTAGAAGCAAGCAGAGTTTGCAACAGGGGACAAAAAGCCATGGATAAGTACCTGAATGGTTATTACCCGAGGACACAAGACACTACCACATTCTTGACTGTTTAAAAAATAATTAAGCGCGTGATTTTTTTAAGTTTGCATAATTAATTATTAAAAACTGTTACAATTTTTAATAATAAAGATAACGCAACCGGTAACCTTTATGGTAATTATTTCTACTTTAATTTACATACGTTTTGTATTAATACAGCCTTTATGCTAACTCTTACTTTACGGCTATAATGCCGTTTTTATAGTGAACCTTTATGGTAACGCGGCTTATATCACGTCAGATTTTATATTACGCCCAAAGGAGCTTTTTTTTAACGTTTTGTGTGTTACCTTTATTTATTAAATATCATGTTCTTCGCACTTAAACCATAAAATTCAATTCAACAGCAATATCATAAAATAATTTTAAATAAATTTTTTTTCGAATTTCCGATACTCAGTCTGGCGCGTTGGGAACAATTTTTCCCCCCCTCCGGGCAGTGTTGCCACGGCTAACATTGAAATCGTTGAGTTTCTTAATCAAAAACTCATAAATGCTTTACAAAATATGAAATAGATAATAAAATAAATTCCAAATTTGGGCTTCCAGATATCCATATTCGGGTGGAGACGTACGTTATTCAAACTTCGATCTCCCTAGGTACCGTTGTTTTATCACAGTGCGAGAAACATACATTTCATACAAACATATCTACATGAAATTCTTCATTGTTTAATTTCTTTAAATATAATACAGGGCTCTAATATTTGGCGGCAACAATTTAAAAAGGGATTTGCCATTTATAGTGAATCAAAGCAAAATGTCAAAACGAAATTAATAGCCCTTCTGATCAAATTGCCCCTTTGGGTTAATAATTATAAAATAATAATAATTAATTATATTTGTTGCTGTTGATCTTAAAAGCTTAATAATGTGGAAATTTTTATTATTTTTATAACTTAAATATAAAGTGAACAAAGGATTAGGAATTCGAAACTCGACTGCTTTTATTATGTTTTTATACCTTCAAACAGAGAGAGCAAAGGATTAGGAATTCGAAATTGGACTGTTTTTAGGTAATTAATTGAATATTGTTCTGCTTATTTATTTTTTTTTATTTCCCCTATGCACTGAATAGTGTTTCAATGGCAATTAAGAATCTGTCTTTTTTAATTTTCCTAACAAACCAGCTTAACAAATACGCACGTTAACAGTGCAGAATTTAAAATCCATGACATCAGACAGAATAATATTTCAAATGCTGGCGAATGATTATGCTGTTATTTTAACAGATTAACTCTTCTCATAAAATGAAGACGATTATCTTAATATAGAGTGAAAAATTACCAAAAATATGTGTTTTATCAACTAACAAAATGATAAAATATGTAAAATTATTTAATATCTTAAGACTTCTAATCGCCGCTTATCTTTACGGTATCTAGAAAAATAGTTTGCTTAAATAGACAACATGAGTATTAATTGCAATCTCACAAAAGAACCTGAGAAGCCAAGTAAGAGAAAATATCCTGTTCTACCCTTGACTTCCAATGCTTCTTCGTATAGATCCACATCATACTATGATCAATTAATATTAAATATGTGCTTCATCCTACCCGTACCTGAGTTTGGTTGTGAATCCATATTACTTATAGACACAGATGCAATTTAAGTAAAATAAAAATCACATGGAAGCTTTTATTGGACATCACTGCATAATTAAAATACTTATTTCCGAGGAAAGTTAAAAGAAAGCTCTTAATGCCGATACAGTTGTTGTAGAAAAAACTGTAGATTCCAGGGCTTAATTTCTAAAATCAGAAATGCCAGAGTCCTATGGAAGGCCGTCAGGCAGAAGGAAAAAATAAATAAATAAAATAACTAATAAAATAATAAAATTGACTAACAATAAAATAATTAAATAAATAAATTAAAATTAAAAACTCAAATATTAACATATCAATAAAAATTTAATAAATTATTAAATCATGATAAATAATTAAATAAAATATGGGGTCTCATTTTATTTGGAGCTCTGGCTGGACTTAAATTTCGTTCAAAAAACTAAGCAATAGCTTAGGCGGCCTCCGGTTGAATTTAAGTCGTGAATAACGTAGTACTTCAAGAGATGAGTGAAGCAAAAACCATTCTTTTTTTTTTCAGCGCACGTATGGAAAAAAGGAAATAGATTAAAGAGTCACTACTGAGAATAGAGGGATTCCTAGAAACAATATCAGCTTATTAAAATGATTTTAATGGAGAAAAGTAGCTTCCAAACAAAGAGAAGAGTCTTACGCTTTCTCACCGCGATGCCCTGCCGATATAATTCTAACTATCAAGCAGAATGCAACTGAGGGGGGGAGGAAATTCCCTCTAATCCGATCCGATAACAATATGAGAACTAAGGTAAGGTCTGCACAAGTGAAAATTTTTATCCCCATTATTTGGTTATTGGTTACATAGTCAAAGTCTGCAGGAGCTCTGCAGTGAGGAGGCTCTAGAGCTGGACCTGCTCGACCAAGATAACCACTTTTAGTACTCTCGGGAATAAAACCTTTTTTACTGTTCTCATAAATTTATTTGAAGAATAAGCCCTTAATTTGTGGATAGGGGATTTTCTTTCCTTAAAAGTCTTAACATGTCCTTCAAAGTGTTTATTCCTCAGAGAATGGTAGGCATGAATTCGGAAGTTATAATCGCATATTTATTTTTAAAATAAAATTTGTCCGCTGAAATTGTGTTTTATTTACATAAAAGAAGTGCAGGATCTCTTTTATGGCTCCGGTGCGCTCCGGCTAGAATCCCGAGTTACCTCAGAAACTGAGAAGTACTGGAGCCGGGCTCCAGTGGGCTCCTGCGCAATTTAAACTCCGGTAGATTCATTAGGATTTTTTGAAGCAGGAAAGTTAAAAAATGAGTAATGCCCTAGCCGGGACTCGAACTTGGACCTCTCGAATACTCGCCGAGTGTGTTATCCGTTACACCACGAAAACATGATGGAACAAGGAAGAAAATAACCTTGTAAAACATTTAACGTCAGTACATAGGTTCCTTACTTCATAGGTGTAAAGTTTTCCTAGGCATCCTTGGTAATGCATTTGATAGTTAATGAGTTAAATAATTCACGTCACTTACCGTAAAATGCATTCTTCTGGATTCACTCTTTTCAATTTCTGAAGCTCCAAGGATAACCAATCCTGAGGTCGAATTATTTTGTCTCCCTTTACCATCATAGTTCACTACTCCGCTCACAACAGTGCTGAATATGATACACGACGAAATCCATGTTATCCAAAGCAGCATTCCTACCGGCAAGATCAGGAAGTAATAAAATATGAATTTTCTGCTGTATTAACAACACACTTTCTCCTCACGTTAGTAAAAGAGTAATTACTTCGATATAAAAGAACTTTATACGAAAAGAAAATTTAATTTAAATTATCCGGGATGCCATGAAATAAAATCTCGTCTGTGATTAATTAAATTCAAATATATTTGCTAAGCCTTTCTTTTTTCACTAGAGCTCCTTTTCTGTTGCCAAACACTGCTAGCTAAGAACATGTATTTCTTTCTGTTGGTCTGAGTGGAGAGAATCCTTCTGATGAGGAAAATTCTTGACGGGAGGGGGGCAATATGTAAAAGATTCAAAAAGCGTGACGAAGCCAAAAGATGTAGGACGTCCGAGAATACTCCCAAGGTGAGCGAGCGTCTTCCTTTCTATGGCAAAGCCGTCATTTCCGGCGTCCGCTGGAGCGTGGAGCACGCATAAAACACCCTCCCACTTGGTCAATTCCTGGAGATGACCCGCCTACCAAAGTTTGACAGCTTGCCCTTCACAAATATGTGTCTACATATGAGGACATGACTATGTACTATTCTGGAAAGGTTATGTGACTGAAACTAATTACATTTTGTGTGCAAGGAAATGACACACAAAATATTTTCTCGTAAGTCGATGAATTGGCAGAAGATAACACTTCATTTCAGAAACAATATTAGCATAAGTATACCTCATTTGAAGCTGAAAATTTCCTATTAATTTCTTTCCTGCTTCTAAAATATAATTACCGTAAAGTATGACTAGTAACACAAATATAACCTAAGAAGTAGATATCGGGATTGACAAACTAGCAATATGTGTTTCGAATCCACGGTGAGTGCAAAATTGATTTTTTTATGTTTCTTGATATGAAATGTCTTTGCTTCTGCATTTGGTCGGCTGGTTCCCGTGCCTCCTCAGTCGTTCTTTGAGTGGAGCAGTATTTAAGGAATTATCGCATTCCTTCCTTACTCTTGTGATAGTTAGCATGTCCGGCCAACAAATGGAAGATCTTTGGTTCGAATCTCGATGAGGGTACAGCAGATTTGAATTTTCACCTTTCCCGCTTAAAAAATTCTAACAGTCTCTACTGCCGCTCCAAATGAAGGCAGCGATTGTTTATTTCTATCCATATGAATATCTTTACATAAAGCTATCCCTGTGTTATTCTTGTTCATCCTAATGTTTAAATGCAGATAGGTTTATAAATAATTTTCACTGGGAATAACTTTATCTCTCGTAAATCTTAGCACAAGTAACAACAGATGATTTTGTACAGCTCTATTTAAATATCCCTCAAGAATTCCCCATGCACCATTTAAAAGATAGCTGACTTGCTAAATAATTCTTTGTTATAACACATAATAACTTTGTTATAATAATAGTATGACACTCGTATTAAAGGCCAGTCCCACTGTATTGAAAAGCAAATAAAAAAAAATGAATATTTTCGAAAGTTTAAGAAAACTGTATGCACGTAGGTATTTAATACTAAATTTTTAAATTACCGTACTCTCCTAGGACTTTGTTCATAAATGACTATAGAGGGTTCATAAATGACTATAGAGGGTTCATAAATGACCCTATGTGTTCATAAATGACTCAGGTTCTAATCTTTGGCCTTCCATGAGAGAGTAGATTCAACGAGCTGTAAGTTTTCAAGCTAAAGTTTGGAGCAGAGTATCTCCGAACTTTAGCTTGAGAGAGTAAACGAAGTTTTTCTCGGTGTGAAGTGAATATATTCCTCCAAAAAATGATAAACGAAACAAGCACACTTTATGAGATAAATGGTTTTCGAAATCTTAACGAAAATAAATTAAGCGCCTTATTTTCGTGTTATGAATTTCACATCCATTACGTTAATGTGTTTCCATAAATTTTATGTACATGAGACTACCCTAAAAAACTATTTACTTAATGAGGGATAAATTAGATAGAAGAAGTAGTCATGTTCTTACATCCGATGGTTCTGCAACTGTGGTTATCCCAAAAAATAAATAAAAATAAGCAGTTTTTCGAGTCGCGACATATATGTCAAACAAGGGTGATAACCTGGTAAAATACGGCATCCTAAAACTGCTCAATGCTGTCAAACCTCGCAGTCCCCAACCATGGGTAAAATGGTCATGCGCGATCCGGATCAATGTTTCATTGTTTATGAAGAACTGTAATAAAAAAAAGATCACTTTTTGATTTTTTATCCCTCTAAATTGTGCATAATATTATACAATACAGGGACAATACTTTTTTATCCTGTTTTATCGTTTTTTGAAGGTAAACCTTAAAAATATAAATCCATTATTTTCATTCGTAAAACAGAGATAGAAAAGGAGAGAGAAAATACACTAAATACATATTTTCCAGAGTAAAATGCTTTATCATTCAGTTTCCTTCTCATAATGTTTTATTGTGGGAATTCATCAATTAAAAATTAAGCATTGACGTACGAGTATATAATACACGAATATGTGTCACGTACGGTGTTTTAAAATTATTAAAGGATTAAATATTTTATGAAGTATCTTATCATGAGACTGCGATAATGATGAATAAGCCTTTACGCTACGACCATTTTCGTTAAGCACTACCATTTCGTAAAAATTTAGAAATGTTTAACATTTATACAGGCCTTATAGGAGAAAAAGGAATGAAAAATAATGAGCTTCAAACAATTTCATTTCTTTTACCAAATTTTTAGAAAAAAATTGTCCCTTCCTGTCCGATCCAAATTATTTTAGGTACCTTTAATTAAAATTCTTGAATGCGTGCAAGTACCGTATTAGTAAATATGGCTATCATAATAAAATTATAAACGCATGTTTATAAAAGATACCATTCCCTTTAGAAAAGCATTAATTTTAAAATATTGTTTTCAAATTAGCGTTTTAATAAATCTCAAAATTTGAACTTTTATATTTAATAGAATTTGGCTCTTGACTCTTGAGTCGACATTTTTTTCTTCACATGAAAGTGGTTTCAAACTGGCGGCCTGCAGGACACAAGCGGCATCCGAAGCAATTTTATGTGGCCCGCGAGTACACATCATATGTATTTGTTGAAAATATTTCAAGTATTATTTGCTTGAAGTCTGAGTTTACGTTATTGTCATTACTATTAGAAATGAACATGAGAATAAAGTTCAAGAATATCCATAAATTAAGCTAATTAATTTATAGTATGATATAAATCTCATTCAAAGATTTGAAGATGTAGATTTGAACTTCCAAAACATAAATATGCTGAGTTACGAATTTTTGCAGTCAGAATCACTGATGAATGTCTACAGTCCGTGATCACGATAATTTCTAGTAATTTTTCTCCAAGGCTACAAGCTTTGTCAGAATCGAAACGCTATCAAACGTTAAAATGTAGTAAGAAATAAATAAGTTTATAATTAATTACATGAAAATATATGTATTTAAATTTGTCTTTAAATTTGTCCAAAGGAAAATCTAACATTAAATGCTATAATATAAAATCCTAAATTTAAATTGCCATTATCTATTCTCAAGTTTTGCCATACTTGGAAAATTTTCTCTTAAAGTATATAAAGTTTTCATAATTTCTTCATTTTTAATTTAAATTAAAGTAAGTTATTTAACGATTAATCAAGAACATTAGAATTATATTAAGTGAATGTCAGTCTTAAATATTAATATTTAGCTGCCAATGCTTGAATTACGAGGTGCAGCCAACAAAAATGTCTTGCAGGTACCAAACTTAAAATTTCAGATAAAAAACAGATATAAATTTGAATGTTTCCTTTTTGTTATTATTATTATCATTGTTTATGTATGCTTTCATAAAATAAGCGAAATTTAAAATTTAGTTAAAATATACTTTTTATTTTATTGATAAAAAACATTAATTTTTCTAAAATAATAATAATAAAAATAAAATTCTATCCCGTTAGTTGTTTCCAGATTATGCATTTGGCCTGTACGCAATCTGAATTTGAGACCATTGGTTTAAAGAATATAATTATAAAATTGTTCTGTTTCTTTATTACCAATTTTGTACATTATAGGTTTTTTCTTTTCCTTTAAGAAATCTTTACAAAAATAGGAAATTACATTAATTGGAACTTTTCCCGAACATATATCTATTACGCGAAAACTGTGTATGCAGTATTCATGTGGCATCTATATCGCTATGAATTTTTATATATATGTAAATAATTTTAGTGAAATTATATGTAAATTATAATATCTCTTGTATAATGTAGTATGAGAGGACTCAGAATGAAGCATCGCTGAAAAATAGCAGTACAGGTTTTTAATTCCATTTAGCATTTTAGCGAGATATCAGCAGACTGGAGATGGTTATGGTGACTAATTTTTATCGCCATATTTGGCTAGAAATCTCCAAAACTCGTCAAACTGGGCGAAAATTTGGCGACATTTTCATCCGATCCCTTTTTAACTGTAATGGCATTCGGCCCTGTGTAACTGTAACAATATCCGGCCCTATGCGACTGTAATTGTTTATGTCGTCCAGCAACTTCGAAAAGTCCAAGTTACTGGTAATTTCTTTGGAGGACGAAGGAAAACTATATTTAGGACCGGAGAGACCATCAGTTTCAGTTTAGCTCAGAATATTGAGAGATCAATAGCTTAAACTACTGAGAGATCACCTTGCAAGCTTTCGCTTTTTGATGCACTTTGCTTTGCCTTGTATTCAACGGTCTTGGTCGTTTGAAGTAGTAACTACTGACTGTGTTCTATCACTTCGAGAATTGCTGAAACTTTCCACTCAAAAGCTTCAGAACTATGAAACGTTTTCGGAAAATTAATTTCACCAAGCTTTCATCGGTTCTTCGTGCATTCAATCAATTGCAAACCCATACGCACGTAACAATATGCATGTGTTATTACAATAATATTGCTTCGTATATAGCTTGTATAAAAATGTAAATTTCGTATAAATTTTATAAACTATTTTTCGTGAACTAAATAATTCTAACCTATAGAACCTACTTTCTTAAATCGAAATAGTAGATTTAGAGCCATTGCACAGATAACGAGAGAGATGTCGCACCACTGCAAAGTATAATCTCTTTGAAGCAATGTATATGTTGTAGCTTTTGTCAAGTGTTTAACACAGTGGAGATAGTTCTTGAAGTGTATTACGCACTACCTGGAAAATGGGCTGGCTGCTTTGGATTGATGAACTGGCTCGCAGAGTGGCCTGTCCTTATATTCTTTTCTTTCTCTATTTGGTCTTCATGGATGTCTATTGTAAAAATAAATTAAGCTTTTTTTC